GAAAAAAAAAAAAAAGAGAATTTACCTTTAAGGTTATAATCAAAGAAGAAAAAGAAGGAGACGTCTCTTTAAATGCTCATATTTCTCTATTCATAGTCTTCAGTACGTGAATATATACATACATATATAGATTAGTAAGAGAGGAATCTACTTTGATGAACAATTGAGATGCCACGAGAACAAGTCGAGTGGTATGTGGAACAATCATTGCATGATAATGATAAAATACATGCACATCAATGTTGTACTTATTATTCAATAGTCAATGCTAATAAAGCAAACTATCCATATACAAGTTCATATGAACAAGAACAAACGTGGACATTAACACGAACAATGTCAAATGATGGTAAACGATATCAATCATCAATTGAAAATATTCATTTAACAATACCATGTGTAGTAAATCTATCAACACCAATAACATCAATTAAAAATAATTGTGATTATGAAATAGATAAAACAAAAATAGAACGATCTATTTCACTTTTACCACCATTACCACCAACACGACAATATGCATTACCATCTTATCGTTTAAATCGTCTTAATACAACCGATTCGAAGATTTATCAACATGATAATCATCATAATCGAAAGCAACCAACTTCTATGACGGAAAAATCATTACCAGTAACAAATTTAATGCGTATCATACATGTTAATGGAGAATATGTTGTACGTATTTAATTAAATTGACTTATATTACAATAAATAAAAGAAAATTTTGTTTTATTTTACTCTTGTAAAAGAAATAAAATCATTTATACATTTACGAAAAAAATATTCGTTATGTAATGTAATACTAAACAAGAATAAAAGCGTTTATCACTCTTGTGTATAATTTTTGTTAGTGATCTTTATATAAATGTTTTACATAATAGATTGATTTTTAATAAAATAATATGTCTCGTACTGTAAATAAGATGTTATAAATGTAATAACATACAAGTATAAAATGATTAGTGATATTAGTCTACGATAGAATGACTTCTAATAGTTCGGTTTAATTATATAATTTTAAGAAAATTTTTTTTTATTATTTATTTTGATTCAAAGATGAATGTTAAGATAATGGATGTTTTCTGAAAAAGTCAAAGAAAGCATCATCATTGCGAGGAATTGGCCATCTAAAATGTTGAAGCATACCGATACCAAATTCAGAAGTACAACTTTCATCACATTCCGACGTTCTCTGAAGAAAAGAATCAATAATAACAACTTCAGCAGTTAAATCACAGTAACGATTATTTAGATCTTCAATAAAACTTCCACCAGTTACACACATATTAAGGACATCACATTGATTATATAAGATACGTATAGGTGTAAGATTAGTTGGATAAGGCGTTTGTGCACATGGATCATGATTATCTCGATAAGGATCTGGTGCAGAATAAACAGCTGCTGCAGCAATACCGGGTGTGTTCAGTGCATATTCAACAGCCATTGCTGCACCGTTACTCCAGCCAGATAAAAATACACGTGATTTGTCAATCTGATAATCATTAGACTGAGTAGTTAGAACTGTATTTATAAAATAATCGATTGCTTGAA